GGGGAGTGGTGCGGGGAGGAGAAGTGAGGCTGGGGAGCCCAGGGTGGTCACCAGGAGTGACCAGGGACCCCCAAGAGCTGCCCCTGGTGAGACCAGGGACCCCGAGGAGGGACTGGGAACTTAAGGGTGACCCCCAGGTGGGACTGGGGACCTGAAGGGTGGCCCCTGAGTGCGCCTAGGGACCCCGACGGGCGACTTGGGACTTAAAGGTGGCCCCTGGGTGGGACCAGGGACCCCCAAGTAGGACTGGAGAGCCGAAGGGTGGCCCCCAGGTGCGACCGGGAATACCGAGAGGTGCCCCCAGGTAACAGGGAACCCCGAGGGGGGGACTGGGCACCTAAGGGCAGCCCCGAGGAGAGATGCGGGCCTCGAGGGCGGGCAGGGATCGGGGCAGCGCACGGTGTCCCTGTCCCGTTGCAGTGGTCCCGGGAGGGAGCCGGCCCGGTAGCAAGTGGGCCCAAGCAGGCCGCAATCCCGGTCCCGCCGTACGGTAGCCCGTGGCCGTACCCGGTAGCGGGGCAGGAGACGTAGCAGGTAGCACGCTAGCACCTCGTCGCAGTGGAAGGTGCCGTCATGGGTGCCGATACGCGGGGCAGGGGCGGGCTCGGGCCGCAGCCGCTTGGACCCGGCCGCGGCCGCGCTCCCGGTGCCCACGGCGGCGGCCATAAGGCGAGCGGCACTTCGCATGGCACTGCGCATGCGCAGCCACCCCCCACCGCCGCAGCGGCACTGCTCATGCGGAGCACCGCCTTCCCGAGTCTTCCGGACGGCGCATGCGCCAACAGCTCCCGCGCACCTGTCCGCCTTCAGTCTGCGCATGCGCCAGCCCCACCCGACCCCCTCCCCACCGCTCTACGCATGCGTTGGCACCGCCCAGCCCCCCCACCCATCTGGCCCTGCGCATGCACCAGCCGCGCCCGGCTGCCGTGCCACCGCCCCACCCCTTCGCCAGCCCCTCCCAGTCCTCGCCCTTCTGTCCTGCGCATGCACCAGTTCACCCAGCTCCCCGCCCCTCCGCCGCGCGCATGCGCCGGCTCACCCCTCCCTAGCCTCGCCTCAGCGCGATCACGCATGCGCCAGCTCACTCCTCCCGACCCCGCCCGGCCACGGATGCGCATGCGCCCTGCGCGGAGCGGTGGGAGGCGGAGCCAAGGCGGGGCTTAGCTGAGGGCACGCCCCCGCCCGGGCGCTCCGCGGTACAGACGGACAGACCGGGGATGGGACAGACGGACACGTCCGTGGGCAGACGGGGACATACAGGGACACAGACACGTAGGTGGGCACAGGGACCGTCCAGCCCGCAGGGACACCTCCGCCTGTCGTCCTCCCCCCACCCCCGGGACAGACATACAGGGTCCTGCACAGCCCAGGCAGGGACAGACAGACGGACACGCAGGCATCCCCCCCCCCCCCCCAAAAAAAAAGGAAAGCCGCCCGCCCCCGCCAAAAC